AAAAATAGCAAAAGGCATGGTACCAGGAAGGAGAGGCAGGGGCCAACCAACACGAAGATGGGCAAAGGATATAAGTGACTCCTTGAGTATGAAAGTACATAAGGTGAGTGAGAGAGTTTCTTTCAGGCAGACCATAATGAGAGCGATATTCTGCAAAGAACCTGCTACATGATGATGATGATGATGATGCCTTTATGTCCAATATGCCTGCAGGTGTGGGGAAAAGGGGGACCACAATGGAGACCAGGTGCTGTGCAAGTACTTTAGTCTTTAGGAATATTATATTGTGAGGCTCCAAATCTTCCACGGTGTGATTCTTGTACCGCTGTCTAAAAATCATGAGAATGGTCTATGCAAAAATCGAACTGTAGAACTAAACAAATAAAAAATATCAAATGTGTTCACTAACTTCAAAACCACGTAGACAATATAAGTTAGACTAATGATACTGTCTTCATAGCAACAAATCTGAAGCAACTGAAGAAAATGATTTAAACAGTTGTAGAGAATGAAGAAAGGGACTGCTTGAATAACAAGAATGAAGCAGTGCCATCTTAATGCGTGGGCTTGTTGGGCAAGAGCCTAGGGGCAATAAATAAAAATGTCACTTCTGTCATTGTCGCAGGGACCCCAGCACACTGGTCATAAGGCTGTTGAGATGGCTCTGGATAGAAGCAATGGTAACTAAAACTGCCCAAATGTGCACATAAAGTCAAACATATCTGGGTTAAGTACATAAATTCAAATATTCATATGTTCAGATAACTTCAGGTGGAAGGCGTATGCACCGTTATCATCATCATCATCATATGCCCTGCCAACTGGCGTAGGCACTCATGCATCTCCACTGATCACGATCCCTGGAACAGCTCTCTTGATAATATCTCTCCATGCCATCGTTTCAGCCCATCCAGCATCATCTCTCTTCGTCTGCCTCTACCCTTTTTTCCACTGATCTTTCCAGTCATCACCATGTTCTACAATATCTCTCTTCTCATTATGTGACCAAAGAAGAGTATGCACTAAAGCAAAATAAATTTACCAACACACAAAAAACCAACTATATGCTTGAGGAAAACAAAAGCTTGAAGAACTGAGCCTGAAATCATCTATTTGATATATTTGCATCCACACACACAAAAAAAAAAAATTAAAATACAAAAAGCAAAGAAAGCTGATAACACAATAATGGAAGACTAAAAACACTTTTATAAGAGAAATAACAATAAATTGTAGTGAATCCTTATGACGGTCAGAGAAATACCTGTGTGACAACTGTCATATCTGTGCCAGATAACTAAAAAGTGGTGAAGACGGGGATGGTTACAGTCAAACTAATACCAAGAAATTAATCCACTGAATTGTGGCTTAAAAGCTTAACAAGAGGGAGAAAGAGAACAATGTACACAAAACGGACAAACCAACATTTTGGCCAGAAACTTTCTCAACATGAGCCACACAACAGTAAACAAACAGATGAAAATAATTATTTAGAAGTTCAATGTAAAATATGACTGGTTAAAATAGTGTCACTTTTCCTAAGCTGTAAATCATTTTACTTGATTCAAAATCTTGTATTTTTTCAGTGTATAAGACTGCCCCTCATTTTGTAAAGCCCAAAATAAATAAATATTTTAAACAACAGAAGAATTTCGATATTTTATTAAATATTAAAAACACCAGTATACTTAGTACTGTATATTTAAACATCAAAACAGAACAACTTTACCGATATATTTGGTATTGTAATTCATCATCATCATCAGGTGCCTTGCCGACTGGTGTGGGCGATCATGTCTCTCCACAATCTGTGGCCTCCTGCAGCATGTATCATTTTGTGTGCTGTCACACATCCATGCCATGCATCAAGACTGTCAAGAATCTTCTCTCATTGTCTTCCTCTGTCCCTCCTTCCACAGATCGTTCCAGTGGTCACACCATATTCCATTTTCCCTCCTCTTTCAAAACCTCTTGGTTGTTTTTTTTAAATTTTGATTGTAATTGCAGTAGGTAATTGGGGTGCGACAGCATCATTATTATATTAGGCAGTATAAGAAGAGCCATAGGGCCAGCAAGGATGATAATGTCAAATTCAGCTGCACAGAATCATAAGGAGTCAACAGAAGGCAAAATCAAAGCAACGAAACATTTGCGGAGGTCCTAAGTGACTGTAATATGGTAGTTAATGGGAATATAAGAGGAGGGATGGCTGAGGGAACCGGGTGGAATGGGCAATGTCAGGAGTGGAGGCCACTGGGAGAAGTACCAACATGGATTTGTCGTGAGGCCAATAGTGAGGGAGGCAGAGGGGAAAGTATATGGATAGCAGCACGTATTTATTCATCGTCTTCAGCATTCCGAGCCCTTGAGGTTCACTGCTGCAGATATCAGCCACCTCCACTCATTTCTCTGACTGGCCTTCTCTTTCCAGTTGGTGACACCAAGTGTTTGCAGGTATGTCTGGACGTTATCTCTCCGTTATCTTCTTGGTCTGCCTCATGCGCTATGACCCTTCAGTTTTCTTGTGTTTACAGTTTTTACCTCTGTAAATTTGACACTTTTATTTATTTGTACGCCCCCCAATATTAAACTTCAAAAATTAGGAAAACATATTGTCTTATACTTGGAAAATATGTTACTTTGTTCTGAAAATAATTATTTCTACTCTACCTCAATATTTCTATACATTCAATTTTTGTTTTTATAAAACCTGGTCAAGAGTTTAACAATATCAATTCTGTCCAGGTTTCTCTAACAATTTCCTAGTAATGGATGCCACCCCTGAGTAGTGTCAAATTGGCCACAAGTCAAGGAAGAAGTGATTACATTTCCTCATTTACATTTCTGATAACTAATTTGTATCTTTTAGAAACATCCTTCAACTTTTCCATTAAAGGTAGTCATCAGTCCAACCCTATCAATTCCATAAAGATTATGTACCAAAGAACAACTATTTCTTAGTCTTAAGAAACTAAAATTACAGCTTTGGGATAAAAGGAGTTATAGTGACAACTGAGACAGAACAGCTAACATAACAAAAGAAAGAGAATGAAGCAAAGAATTGTATACCATAAAAAAGTAACCAATGAACAAACAGCGAGTTCACTGATATTTAAAAAAAGAAAATTTTCCGTTCAAATTCGTCACAGAGCATGTTGAGAAAGGTGGAAACAGGTATATTGTGTGCAGAGTGACAAGCATTGTTTTAGAGGTTCCCAGTAGTAAATGTCCTTTGGATATTTTATACAGTTACGCTGGTGTATTGGGAAAAGAACAGACAGACAAACCAGCTGGTTCTGCACTACATGATGGTAAACTGTTGAATGCCAAACCAGGGCCCTATAGTGAGTGAACAGTGCAGAGGCACAAGCAGATCATCACGGTCTGTAGAGAATGGTGCTGCAGGGAGTGACCAGGGGATCTGGACAATATTCAACACTCCACAAAAAGGTTAGATAAACATTCAATCAGACTGTTATTGGTATAATCAAAATTGAAGCTCTGTGCTGCTGAAGAAGAAGAAGAAGAAGAAGAAGAGGAAGTGCTATGATGTGTGTTCCTGATTCAACTCAACGCATTCTAAGAGTCGGTAGCAAGCATGTTGTTTCCACTCTAATTCACAGCTAAGCATTCTTGTTTCAAACGTTTAAAAAAAAAAATGCAAAGGCAATCAATTTTTGTATTTACTGTATTATTTTTTTCAGTCTGGAATAATATACACTGATGTAGCCATTTAGGCCTAATACAAATAAGGTATTACAGCCTTATTTTTCTTACATATTTATAATTATTACGTAAACATACTTCATCCTCATATGACATGCCAGGAAACAGGGTTGATCAGATGTATGAAATTCACTGACAATATTACTTACTATGTCCTTTAAATATCTTCAATTTAAAAAAAAAAATAATCCATCTACTTCTATGACCTTTAACAAATATGAAACAAGGGCTTTCATGCCTTGCCTATATCAGGACTTGTCCTGTTCACATTACCATTTCGTCACAGCATGAATAACTTCCTCAGGTTCATCTCTCCACTTTCTGAAGTCAAAACTCTCTGAAACCAGTGACCAGCTGTGCTCTTTTCAACTGCACTACTTCCAAACATAACAAAGAAACATTTATGAATATTCACCAGTTAATTTTTTCTCAACCAGAAATTCTACAACAATCTGCTGTTTGTAACCTACATCCTTTTGGAATGCCATTTCAGCTGTTCTTTTTGTTGGAATGAGATGCCATACCTGCATACAAATAGAGGCATTTCAAATTTAAAGCAAAGAAAATGTCATATATTTTCGTTGGAATGTGCTGCCATACCAATAGAGGTATTTAAATTTAAAGCATGGAAATGTCATGTTTTAATCTGTATTATTTGCTGAGGGGGAAAATATGGGGCACTACTTTCTAATGTCCTCGTAGCTAGACAGTATGTACTGTTGCTGATGAACATCATTAGTCAAGACAGCTATGTAACAATCAAACAAATACATCAAAACTACAATATAAAACTAACAACTCAACCACAACATTAGGAAATTAAACCTGCATATTAAAAATCCGTAAGGCCACTAATAAAAGATATTTCGACTAATTAATACTGGATTTCAGAAAACTATAAGATATATACATGTAAACGTTAAGGGATGTAAATCACTTTCACCAGCATTGGCACTAATGTTTCCTTTAGAGCAGTGGTTCTAAACCTGCCAGTCACGACCCTTTTACAGGGGTCGTCCAAAACCATCGGAAAACATACATTCATTGAAGTTATGAAGTAGAAACAAAAAAACTGTATGGGGGTCCCCACAACATGAGGAACTGTTTTAAAGGGTTGTGGCATTAGGAAGGTTAAGAGCCACTGCTCTAGAGAGATGTGAGTATAGCCAGGCGTCCAGCATAGATATACAAATATTTCAGTGCAAATCTGAAGCAAGCAAGCGAGCGAGCGAGCCCCAGGATATCACAAACCAAAAAATGAACTGTTTAGTAAGTTATTTAAATAATTCATTGTATTCTAACAAAATAAACTCCACAATCCTGCTCTGGTACACTGTTTGAACTGCTAAACCTTCTCCTGGTGATTCCTGCCATAATAATGTTGGTCCAAAAACAATGGCTAAGTTCTGAGTCTGCATGCGGTTCACGTGACTGGCGTCCATTACTCTAAAAGAACAAGAGATATGTCGATGTGGTTGAAAACAGATTTCATAATCATGGGTTTTGTTTCCTAATATTTCCTCATTTAAGTTCCTAGGCCTCATCTAGGTTTGGAGGGGGGGGGGGGGGGGGGGGGGCAGGGGGGGGGGGGGGGGGTATTATACTGACTACATTACTGAATGAGTGCCGTGGCGCGGTGATTTCGGTCACAGGCATGATGCAAAGTTAAGTCTGATGTAAGGTGTATAAGGAGATACTCCGTACCCCACTCGGGCGCCAGTCCTTCACTGTTCTGGTTTTACGGAGCCTCATGCAAGACTCCTGCTGCACGTCCCCGTCGTGCGCCACGGATAATGTCTCAAATGAGCATTAACAGAGTTGGCAGGGGATCTCGGAGCTGGCGGCCCCTAGAGGTGTAGTGTCCTTTCTGGCTCTTACCAGCCCGCCCCCAAACGCATGGGTGAAAAGTCTAACAAAACTCAAAAATTGCTTGCTAAATGTACCATCAAATGACAACTCTTGGTTAAAATTCGGGAGCGAATGGAAAACTGTGCTGCTGAGACTCAACACTGACCGAGAGATTTACCCGCGGCCAAGACGAGTAACATCTCTTGTGGGCGACTTCTCGCAGCAAGATCCTACCTACGTACATCCTCAATCCTCAGTGTCGTCGTCACCGCACTGAGGTACACCACGGCAGCAACTTTTCATATGCTGGCTTGGAAATAATGTCCGACAAAGTTATACCCCACGGCACACATGCAAGCTCAGAGTCCAACGATCATAATTCGTACCGATTAGGAAAAAGTCTGAATGTCCGTATCCACTGGTCCAACTCGCCCGAGTGTTGGGACTAAACAGGTGAAGCCACGCCTGACGCATTTTGCTTCCCCATTCTGTCGTGCTAAGGGCACAGCTGAAACAACGTTAAAAGTGTCTAACGTAAGATGAAAAAGAATGTACCTATTTGTGTGGCCACAAACGTCCTAGACCTGCGGGCTGCTCCCCGCTGATCTCCGGAGAGCGCAGCCTTGTAGTGCGGGAAGCTCAATACACGGTTGTGAGGTTAAGCAGTCATGGGCAGGACGTGACGATTCCTTGGGTGAGCCCAGAACCAGAGCATCATGTGTCGGCTCTGCATTTATGGAAGCCTCCTTGGATGGCGGGGAATGCCCATGATCTGCCCCTGCCTTCCCTTGAAGGCTGAAAACTCTACATAGAGCTGCCTTAAGAACGACATTCCGGGGGCCACACCTATTAAAAGTCAAAGAGGACACCACACAAATGAGGCAACATCTCGACCCACACAAAACAATGGCCACAGTCAACCTAGAAATAGGCTTGACGTCTTCCTCCGAAGTCGGAGTACATCTGCCGGAGAGGCGGGGAACGAGAACTGCAAACAAATAAGCCAGTAAAACGGATGTACACGCAAAACTCAGGTCAAGGTAAAAGCCAAAAGTCCATTTTGGACGAACAACCGCTACTTACCGCCGGAATTCACAGCCGGTGAACAAGAAGAAGAAGAAGAAGAAGAATGAGTGCCGACTGGCACCATAGGTCTAATCCTTCACAGCCTCAGATTTTCAATTTATCCTTCGCTGTGGGGTAAACTTCTAGCTCTGTCATTTAGATAATACAGAAGCAGTCTAAAGGTTCACAACACAAGCCATGGATAGATGGAATATTCGAGGCCATGAATACCAACATTTATGTGGCACATAACAAGTCTCACACCCAGTGCATCTTCAAACCCTGACTGACAGGCAGAACAGGACTAAAGAAAAAGAAGTTCAGCTGCTACCACTCAGGCTGCTGTAGTCGTCAGGGGTGCCCCAGTTAAAACTTCTTTGGAGGTTGAATCCAGGATGTGCCCTGTTGGCTTGACATGCAGATTCAGATTTTGTAATTTTAGAGCGTTAAACCTTAAGGTGGTGGCTCCGAGGGGAGAACAATGAACTGAATGGAACAATGTCTAGTAGGCCTCAAATGGAAATCTTCTGATTCACCCAGCGGTAAAGTGTGGCGGAAAATCCTGGGTGCTCGTGGACTTTAGTGTTGTCTCAGAACTCAAGTTTTATGTGCACATCCTTTTACAGATCTGCCTTATGCATATGCAGACTGTTGATTCCTCACCTCTCAGGCAGATGTACTCTGACTTCAAAGGAAACACCTCTAATTAGTACAAATCTGAGAACTTACTTGCAAAGATGTTTAAACAATTCCTTCAGTGTAGCATGGTTACATGCAGGCAGGTTTGCCACTGCTGATTTAAAAGATGACAGTTTGTCTTTTCTTGTTTCCTTTTCTGAGGATTAAAAAAAAAAAACCTTACTTCATTATTTCTTAAACATAAAATGGATCTATAAGACTGTATTATACAATGTTCATAGGAAAAGAAAAACAATAATAGAAGGAGTGAAATTATGGAAAGCAATACCTTTTTAAAAGACACTGTACAATATAACTATTAATCCCTGTCTGTGTTCATTGTGGGGAAAACAAGAATAGATCTACTACCTGCCCAAAAGCAAGTCGTTAGAGACAACTAGCTGGGAGCTTTTCCTTAGAAGTCAGAGTACATCTACCTAAGAGGCAAGGAACCAACAGTCTGAGTGCAAAAAGTCAGACATGTGAAACGGATGTGCATGTGACACTCAGTTTCTGGAACAAGACTAGAGTCCAGAAGTGGACGAACAACCAGACTTTCCACCTGAGTTTGCAGCTGGTGAATGCAAAGAAGAAAAAGATAACTATTAAAATATTATAATACTGTCATTTCCATTTCAACAAAATATATAATATAAAATATACCATATTCACGTGTGTATAGGCTGCGCCCCGTTTCTAAGATGATAATTGGGGGAAGGGGGGGGATAATTTTCTTAAAATTTCGTCAAGAGACCAAAAATGAAACAGTAGGACCTGTAAACAGTGAAAGCTGGGCAGTGTATGAGCAATTTACAGCTGTAAATTTAAGTTGCAAGTACCACATTATGCCCAACAAAATGGAAACCGAGCAGCTGGGAGGAAGTTCGATGTGGATGAGAAAAAAAAATTGGTGAAGATGGACTGGAATGAAAGATGCTCTTAAAAAACATTTTAAAGTCAACAATCTTTTTGTGGCAAGAAGCTAAAATACCCAGAAGAAGAAACCAATCTGCTGGAATATATCAAGCAAAAATATGGGCAGATGGGTTTTCTGTGTCGGTGGAAATGTTACAGTTTGAAGTGCATCAATTACTAGAGATCATGGCAATTCCTCAGAGTGAATTTAAGCGAAGTTATGGCTGGGCAAGACACTTTATGGCATGAAATGATCTCATGATTTAGGTAGTGGACAACAATCACATCAATTACTGGCATTGTTTTCATATGCTGTGTTTGAAAATGGTGCAGTGTTTATTAATTTTGTACAAGTGACATTTAGGCTTAATGTCTCGAATATAAGCCGCATCCTATTTTCTGTTGACGATTTTCGGCTAAAATACCGCAGCCTACACACAAGTAAATATGGTAATAATTTATCAACTACAGGAAGTGTATGACTAAAGAGGAGTTTGTTGGTATTCTACTTCCTTATTCACATCAGTCTCTCTCTCCCTCCCTCCCTGATGTGAATGTGTACGAGTGATGTATGCACATATGTATGCAATGTACCAAATGTACTTTTGTCTGTTAATATTTTGTGAGTGATTTTTATAGACCATTTCCTTTCAAAAGTGGGGAAAATATAGGTCTAGCCAGCTAATATTTAATATTATTACCAGAAGTAGCAATAAAGTTGATAAATTCTATTGTTACCAGAATAACAGCCACTAGATTTATAACATCTGATATACTGCAAGAGGTATAAGTGCAAGAACAACACACCTGGAACAAGAAAAACACAATCCTCTCCATAATACTTAACAGCAAACAAGAACCAGAGGGTAAGCTTCACAGTTGCATTCAGTCCCCCAGTCCATAATGTAAAACAAGAGACAGTTTCTGTATAGCACAAGATATCCTGCGACTGACATCTTTCAACAAGGTAAATGCTATAATTTCTAGGATTTTTCATGAAATGAAACAAACAGTAAACAAATTTACTTAACAAGAGTTACTGTCCTCAGGCAGACCAGACCAGCACAGGATTTAACTAACACCTTAGGTAGAAAAGTACACAAGGCAGGGACCGCTGGTGAAAGATGAGGTTCTTCAAGTGATTAGAGTGACATTCTGCAAAGTACCTGCTACATAATGATGATAATGTAGGACAGGGGAAACTTGAGCATGAGGATTTAGGTCCACATAGTCAGTAGCTGCCACAAGCTGTGCAGCTGTGAGTTCTTCTAATGCATATGACAGAAAAACTTGCAAGAACTTACTAGGAATTTGAACCCAGATCTAAAAGAGCAAAATTTTGTAACCACCCAGCCAGACACTCCTTGCTTTAAAGAGAATAAAAATTACTTCCTTACCTATGCACTGATGTATCAATTTGTATAGTCTTATAGTATCAAAAATAAAACTAACACTAACAGACTGCACACGAACATAAATCAATACTTACTAATAGCATCAACAAATCTGTCATACATGTTAAATGGGAAAACAGGTTCCTTTAATTCACGAAAGAACAATTTCAAGGCACCGGTAAGTACATGGATGTCCCACTGTTCATCACACAAATTGTAAGCATCATCTGTAAAGAGTACATGCGATGTAGTCATGATGTTCATTATGTTTATCATACACATACATACTGGCTTAATTAAGCCTTAATAGCTTTGTTAAAGAATTTACATGTTTCAACAGAAAATATAGAATACAGAGGAACTATAGAACCCAATAAATTATTCTTTCTTATTTCTTATTCTTCTTTCTTATTTCCCATTCTTCTTTCTTATTTCCCATTCTTCTGTCTTATTTCCCATTCTTCTTCTTAGCTTCCAGCTACAAGAAGTTTCTATTCCTGATGATTCCCTTTAAGACCAAGAATTCCTGTGTGGGTTCCAGGACTCTATTTTGGAGAACAAAGAATAAACCCACTGCCCCCTAACAAGAATGTCAAAGAAGGTGACTAATTAGAGTTGTTTCCTTTAAAGGTGGAGCCCATCTGCCTGAGAGGAAAGGAACCAACAGTCAGCATATAAATAAAAATAAGACAGATTTCTAAATGGATGTGCAGGCAAAACTAAAGTTTTGGATTCAGACTAAAGTCCAGAAGTGGATGCACAACTAGACTTTCCCCCCGAGTTTACAGCCTGTAAACGGTAAGAAGAAGAAAAAAAAAGTCCAAGATACAAATTTCTTTTAGAACAGTTCTACATTATCCATTCATCTGTGCAGACAGACATATTGACACCCTCATGATCTTGTATCATGTATATACTATGTTTACACTTCATCACTACCTCCACCTCACGTTTCCTTCAAAGAAATATTATCATCAAAGAAATACTAACTATTCACACGTGACAACTCACCGGTGTCTACAGCACAGCGCAGTTTCTGTATTTCTGCCAAGTTCCCACTGACACGGTAAAGCCCATCATGGGTGACTCCTGTTGAAGAGTAAACTTGAATTAAAGATGGCTTAATTGTGATAAACAAATCCTCTACACAACATAACACACATGTTTCTGTTAAGTACAAAGCAAATGGAAAAAAAAAAAGGACCCTTCTCTAAACTCTGAGGTCTAGTACGAGTATGGGTAAAGTTAGCTGCCTATTCTCTACAGGATGTTACACAACCAACTCAAGCATTTGTTGGCTGTTTTTACTTTGTACTAGGAACTTTTACATTCAGCAGTTTGCCAGTGCTCACCTGAACGGTCGGCTCTTGATACCCCTATCAAAATCAATATAAGGCAGTCTTCTGCCACATCGCCGGCAATTGGAATTGAAACGGGTAGCTAGAAATTGAGAAGCACGTTCGCAACGCCTAATGAACAGATGCTGATGTGCATATGGTACTAGCCCCATATGTGTATAACCAGCTCTCTCTGATGTGGTCAATATTAAGCTTGTTGCCATTACTTCCCATACCATTTCCTGGTTTCGTGCGTGTGTGTGTCTTTGTATGTGTGTGTGTGTGCATGCGTGAATGTGTCGCTGGGATCACCTAAGATTGAATTGTTGAATTGTTTTCTTAAATCCTTGCCTCAAGATGAATTCTTCTTACCTTTCCTAGGCTGTAATTTACTGTGGAAAGTTCTGCTTGTTCATCCACTTCTGGACTTTGGTCTTGTTCTAAAACTTCAGTTTTGTGTTCAGTATCTCTTTTGTGACTTTGTTTTAGTTGGAAGCTGACTGATTCCCCTTCTTGTCTAGCTTGATGTTTTCAGGGCACTCTCTACTCACACTCCATCTGAACATCCTCAATGCTGGCAATCTCTACAATTGATAATTTTCATGCTTCTTTTTCCTCTTAGAGTCCATGCCGTGTGGCATTGGTAGTCATGTCTATCCACAACCTTCTGTCTCGTATACTTTCAATCAACTCTTAACCAGATGATCTTTCACAATATGATGTCAAACTGTCCAGCATCTGTTCTCTTGGTCTCACTCTCTGCCTCTCCTCCCCTCCAAATTTCCTACTGTCACGATGTACTCCAGTTTTCATCTTTTCATCACATGACCAAAGAATTTAGATAAACTCTTTCTGACGTGTGCATTCAGTTCTCATCTTGAGAAAGTTTCTTTCAAAACATCTTCATTACTCTTTTTTTAATCGGTCCAGGGTATTCTCATCATTTGTCTATAAAACCACATCTCCGCTGCTTCCAAATAAGTGTTCACTAATTTACTAACTGTCCATTATTCACATCAAAAACATTGCTTGCCTTTCTACTTCTTCTGAGTTCACCCTTTAATCTGGGCAATCACTCCATCATACTGTAGTTTATAGCTAGGCTGTGATATCAGTGCTTTCAGCCCAAAACATCTGCTTTGAACAAAACCATGATTAGCTGCCTATAGTTTTTAGAGGGTAGTGGATCTATTATTTGTTTCCCATAAAGAGGTCCTGAAACTTACACAGGGAAATGCTCACCTCCTGAAACTTACACAGGGAAATGCTCACCTCCTGAAACTTACACAGGGAACTGCTCACCTCCTGAAACTTACACAAGGAACTGCTCACCTCCTAAAACTTACACAAGGAACTGCTCACCTCCTAAAACTTACACAAGGAACTGCTCACCTAATTCTATCATCTTCAGTGTCAGCTTTCTTTCTATCTAAGGGATGTGTATCATCACAGGTTACCTGTGTTTGATATCTGACCTGGATTAGAGCCTCTACAGAGCTTACTGAGAGAGGTATGCAAATCATCAGTTAATGCTATCAGTTATGCACGCAATGTTGAGATTTATATTAAATACAGCTGTTTCTCCTACCTTTTGATTCCACAGCTGCTATGCACCTCTGTACAAAATTTGGCACATTCACTTTTTCTCTTTCACACAGTTCATGCAGCTTTGATCCAAATACAGCATCTGCAGTGGCAAAATAAATACATGTCTAATATGAAAATATATTAATGTTATTAAAGATAAAGAACCCGTTCCTGCTTTTAGGCACAATGGCGCTAGTTCAAATATCTGTACAGGTCAATGGGCACTCAACGTAAAAGTAAAATAAAGGATCATTTTCTACACATTCAGGTTTTCTGGGCATATAGTGCTAGACCTGTATTTCACTGAGCAATCCGCACTAGGTGGGTGATGTGGTTAACGTCACGCCGGTCGCCTTTACTTCCCATAACTTTTGCTTGGTATCCATTTAACGCTGGATCAACCTAGGCATCAGAGGTAATTTTTTTTTTTAAAGTCCCTCTGCATTTGGATTTGAACACACAACCTTCAGATAGACAGGCAAATGTCTAGCCAATACACCATGGTAGTTACTGGGCACATAATGTGTTAAATATCATACCAGCTGACTACTTTCCGGAACATTTCCTGGTGCCTTTAGGCTGACCTTACCTGGAGTCAAAATTAGGCTTTTTGTTAAACCATGTCTCAATGAGGTACAACAAACCAGCAAGCAAGTAAATATATTTTTTAAAAAACTTCTAAATCAATATAAAAGAAACATTCAGATTTTTAAAAAAAGTATTAATAATACAAGCCTGTTTCATTTCTGATCAGATTCCTTAATAAATATTAGCAAGAAGCTGCTGTGACTAGCATGCCAGGTGGCCCATCAGTCTTATATTAATCTTTCTGTCTCATTACAATCTTAAAACGTGACCTCTTTTCCAAATTTCTTCTTTTTCTTCCTTTTTTTTTTTTTTAAATTGCATCCTTTTAATTTGTTGAGTCTTGGCAAGTTTTGATAATAAAAGTCCAGGTGGTGGAATCTCTAGACCAGTTAGCAGACAGGAGAACATAAAGGCCACTGCTTCGATTTTGGCTGACAAATAAGTTTTTTTTTTTAAATTCTCATTTTTTTTTTTCAGTCATTATAATTCAGAAATACCAGAAATTAAATCTGTCATATGAAGGTGAATAATCCTTAAATACAAATTAAGGAATGAATCAAATGCTTCCTTTCCTTGCACCTCTTGGAATGCGCTCATAGGCTGCCAGCAGCATTGCTTTGTTTAGACTTCCACTAGTGTTTTCATTTTGCCATGTCATGTTTTTATGTTTTTACAGTACTTGTCTGTGAGCAAGGCAAATTTATCCCAGTCAGATCGTTTGTAGAACAAGCGAGACAATGGTTTTTGCTCCTGTAAGATATAATTCATATTTACAAGTTTTCCTGGTTTGTGGTCACCGCCTGCTAACTAATCTAGTACATTGCGATCAATTTTGTGGAGAATGTCTTCTGTGCAGAAGACTAAGTGAGGAGTGGAAGTATTACACAATCTGCTAGAATAAATTTGTAATTATGAATTTTACAGGGTGTCTCAAAAAATTTACACATCTTATTATAGCCCACAGCTGAAGAAATATTTCTCATCAGTGTGCAGACTACAGCAGTGACCAGTTTGAACGCAGGCAACAGACCAATTTATACATGTCGCTTTAAAAAAAAAAAATCCTGATTTATCTAAATTCCAAACATGCAATAATATTAAACATTCAAAGTGTATACATTTTTAGACATCTTACATTCATCTTATTACAGACAGACTGAAGAGTTTACTTTAAAGACTTTTCACAATAAATGTTCATGGACAATCATATGAATAGTCTGGTCAAACAAGATTACAAATGAAAAACTGAGGAGGGGGAAAAATGTCCATTATTGACAACTATCTGCAGGATGGCAGATGAAAAAAAGAGACATGGACAACTATAGGAAACCTAGGGAAGCACAGTATAATGGGAAATTAAGAAATGTAAAATGTCATGGGATACTATAGAAAAAAAAAAAAAAAAAAACAGCAAAGATCATTTGTGAATGCCTTATGTGTTAGTGACATGAATATGAAGCAAAGACATAGATATTTAGCTTAAAAAAAACCTTTTATAATTCCTCTTTTGTAGAGATCTTCTTGTGTAGGTCGACGAGAGATGAGGTTATACAATTTTGCTCTAATCCCAACCAAATTTTTATTCTTGTCAATACTATGAAGACTGGAGCTGTCATCAGCTGATACTCTTCTGACCATTCCTAACAAAATAAAACAACAGTTTTCCATTAGCAGCAAGTTTATTTCAAATGTATCGAATTCTTCCTTCTTAAACCATGCTGTGTTACTGATCATGATGTATATCAACAGCTTCTCACTCACCATCAACAATTTTTCTTTTTTTGTGTCAAACTAACATCTCCAGTCTTCAACATCTTTCCCTGCTTTCTTCCTCGTGAAATTCCCTGTTGCCACATTTTTTGCTTATATGTCCACAAAATATATACTGCTTAACTCTAATGCAAATAATTAAACACATTAATATGAGGAATTATTTCTCTTTATAATATTATCAAAACATAAAAATCCACTCCTTCTGTCTTAATTTTATAGGGTAGTAAGCCAATCTGTGTTTTTCAAGCCCATAAGGTTCCTTCTATTATAGTTTTCTGAGCCTAGAAAGTTTCTTCCATTTCCATTTTTTGTCCTGAACCCACAAGTTTCCTTTTATCTCAGTGCTTTTTTGTTGTTGTGTTTTTTTTTTTTTTCTGAGCCCACAAAGTTTCTTATATTGGAGTTTCCTTGAGCCTGCAAAGTTTCTTCCATTTCAGTTTTCTGAGCTCCTAAGATTCCTTTTATCTCAGTTCTTTTTTTTTTTCTGAGCCCACAAAGCTCCTTCTATTTTAGTTTTTTTCAGCCCACAAAGAACCTTCTATTTCAGTTTTCTGAGCCCATAAGGTTCTTTTTTTTATACCCCACTAGGACAACACACAAGCGATAAACACCCGATAACACATGGTGCCACCATGTGGATGAGGATCACCCGTGGAGGTCCCAGAAACCGCGTTTAGCCATTAGGCTATATTGCGGTCCCTGGCAAGAGCAGAGTAGGGCTTCAAATCACATAAAATTTAATCCCACTAAGGCAAGACTAGATAAACATAAGGTTCTTTCTGGCTCAGTCTGAATATAAAAACATTATTAACAAAAAATCTGCACACGAAACAAAGAATGTCTTCACAATTAGATTTTTTTTAGAAAAAAAACTTCTATTTGCCTTTTTCAGTTTTTCTGTCATCCTTCTGCACATCCTGACTGTCAAAACCTCTAGGACTAGACTCTATCTGTGAATAAGTAGCACAAAATATATATGCAATTTAGAACAACAAAATCAGTCAACATTCTAATCCTAATTATACTACATATATTTAAAGCACCACAGCCATCTGAATCTGAGTCCAGTGGCTGGTTTTCAGATCTATTTTTTTAATGCACAAAGCATAATGTCATGTTTTAGTGCACAATGCATAATGTCATGTTTTAGTGCACAATTCATGTCTTGTGTTTAGTGCACAATAGCATACAATGTCATGTTTTAGTGCACAAATGCATAATGTCCATGTTTTAGTGCCAAGCACAAAGCCATGCCATGTTAGTTACACAAGACATAATGTCATGTTTTAGTGCACGAGCAGAATATCATGTTTTTAGTGCACAAAGCACAAATGTCATGTTTTAGTACACAAAGATAATGTCATGTTTTAGTGACACAAAGCACAATGTTCATGTTTTTTAGACCACAAAGCATAATTTCATGTTTTGGTGCACAACGCAAATGTCATGTTTTAGTGCACAAAGCATAAATGCTTTTTAATACTTGGCCTCTAAATTTTGATTTCTTAGTATTGTTTTTTTATTTTTGAAAATTTACGACTTTAGTTTTTTTTTTTGTTATAATTAACTTTTTAATCAATTGCCCTTTGAAAGGGGACTTTTCATCTGCAGTTTGAGTCAGAAAAAAAACTCTAATATTATCATAATTAGCAAAAAAATTTGACATTAACTTTATCAGTTTATTTTTATTAACATTTTTTATAAATTTTTAATTTCTCAAAATTTTCAAAGCAAACAAAATTTAACAAATTATAGTGGTACAAATCTCAACACGAACATTTAAAATTCTGCCTCAAATTTCTGATTTTCCCAAAAAAAATTTCCCCAAAACATGTTTTTATTCTTAAAGTTTCTTGTTCCTGATGTTTCCAAACTTCATATCTTTTCACACACATTTGCCATTTCCCACTCGTTAGAAAAGCTGTCCAAACTAGATAGGGAAAAAATGGGGGGAAAAATAACCATCACCCCGGCAAAATTTAAAAAATTATATGGGTCTGTACATTGGGAAAAGTTCACGGGGTTTTTGGTCGAGAACGCCCCGCCGGGGGAAAAAAAAGCAGGGTGCCCACGCAGTAAACGCCGTCCAAAATAAAACCCCCTGTGGTAGGTTTTTACCAGGGGACGACGGGCAGGGTGAACCCCACTGCCCGGGGCCCCTGAGTCGATGCGGGGGAGCACCTTTTGATGATTTTGAAGAAGGCGTTCCCGAATCAGGTTTAAACCCGCGAGCAGAAGGTGGGGTGGGTAAGTTGGAGGCTACATTTGTGAGATATTTAAACAAACTTAAACAAGAATCGTAGGGGACAAGCTTACTAAATTGGTGATTAATTATGAAACTGCTCCCGCAGTTGGGACTTTTGTAAAAGGGCCCGCGGGGGGTCAAGAAATACGCAGGAGGCAGGGGCATTCTGAAGTGCGGGAGACAAGAATGCCCCAGAAAAAGGTTCCAAAGCCGTACAGGGAGCG